GTTGATGTACTTAATGCCTCTGATTCTATTTTAATGGTTAATCTGAGTCTTTAAAAGCTTTGCATTTTACAGAGATGGAACTTGATTTGCAAACGAGGTATGTGTGTTCGTACCTTTTAAACAAGCAGAATTCATGGCTTTTAAATAAACAGGAGTATGCAAATCGAGGCTGTTTTCATCAGCCCCCTGTTACTTTCATATATTAAAAAATCCTGCAGTTTGACTATTAAAATAATTGGTGGGAGAGGCTACCGTTGTGATGATGGGCCCTGTATGTCGCTCGCCGAAGCGGGGTCATCAGGGAAGCACCGCGCCCTGGGTGGAAGCGCACGCCATCCCAGTCCGTCCCAGTTCAGTGGTCACACTGCTCCCTTTGCTCCTGGGGAAGGGAAAGGGCCTCTCGTTAGCCCTTTGGCTTCGTCTAACACGGAGAATGATTTTCTAGCTCGTTGTGTAGTAATTTAACTTGCGTCCAGATGTACTATCAGAGTATTTGATGCTATTTGTTCCCCTTCCACCTCTCATCTTTTGCTTTCCCCCTTCCTCTAAAAATATCTTCCAGTTTTCCCAGCAAGTCACAGTCCCTGAATTGCAAACCTCATCTGTGGAGTTCTAATACCGAAGTTCCAAAACACCTCATCTGCCTTCTCAAAAATTGGGATATTGGTTATATCCTTTTTTTAATTCCAAAAAGTATTGTCTCTAATAATTGTTCCATAAAACTTACCTTTATTGAATACCATAGGTATTTTTTCCTTCCTGATCTACTAGCATTTTCCTTTTAATTTCCTCTTGGAAGGAAATGAACATTTCTTTGCTGTAATGACCATCTGTCCATTTTCATGTCTTGGACCCAGCTAAATGGACCCAGACCTGGACGGAGGCTTCACGTGTTACCTTTGTGTGTGTTAGTGAAAGAATGATTCCTTTATTATAAAGGAATACAAATATTGTACATAAAGGAATTATTAATTATTATAGATAAAGGATTTAACAATGAATTGCAAGGCAGGAGTGAGGTCTATCTGTTTTTTCTACAAATCAAAGCTCAGTATTATAAATATGTGGCACCATGTTGGGTTGATGGCATCTGTAGCACCTTGTTCAGACCATGGAATCGCACTGGCAGGGAGCTCAAAGCGTACGACGTCATTAATTGCTCTTTCTGTTATTGGAGCACGGAAAGTTTTTCTTGACGGCTTAAATGGAGATTATGAGGGCTTCTGTGCTGTGTAGGACACGTTAGGTTTGGTGCCTTTCATCCCTCCTCTGCCTGTCGTGGGGACGGCAGCCGCGGTTATGTCTCGCAGAGGGGTGAGAGGAGCAGGGTGGTGATGGTGGTCATTTACACTAGATGGATTACAGTATGTTAATTTTGTTGCAGTAGAGGGAAATCACTAGAAGGATTTACCCACGCTTTTCAGCAGATACGCCCGTGGTTTCGGTAAGAGGACTCAGGGTTGAAGTTTATTTGAAAAATGAGTTTTTGGGTTTGTTTTTACGGAATGAAGTTATTCGGGGTGCTAAAAGCACTGAGTAGCTGAGAGAGAAAACAGCTGAGAACGTTAGTGCTGATAAATGCTGACTGCTTGACGTGGGGGAAGACGTTTCTAATTTTACAGATACAGTAGTGGGCTCTTAATTAGCTGTTAGAACTCTGGAGAGAGATATTGTTATTGCAAAGTATAAATCACAGAATCACAGAATGGTCGGGGTTGGAAGGGCCCTCTGTGGGTCACCCAG